TTATTCGTAGATAATCCTGTAAGATATTGAAGAAATACAAAAACGCGCGCGCGTGCTGTGTGCAGTTATAAAGCAAACAGGGTTGGCAGAACACGAGAGAAGTGTTAGGAGAAGTACGACGCGTAGTGGAGTGCTTATCGACACTTCTCGAGGGTTCTGTCAATCCCCAAGTGCTTTATAACTCCACACAGCACAGCAAGCAAGTTTTTTATTTCTTTTAAGAAATGCAAAAGGGCGCATGTGTGCTCTCATAAAGCACGCGCTCCCAACCAATCAGAATGCGGGATTTATAACAGTTCTTTTATAATTTCCTTTAGGCCTATCATCCCGTGATGGGAGTTGGTTTTATATATGTGACACGTTGTTTTATTATATCCCCATGTCCAGTGCTTGTATTTTGTTCTCATCTTTACCATCGCTATTATCATTATTGTCAACATCATAATTATCACCTCCATCATCACCAGCTCCGTCACCATCACCTCCACCATTGTCGTCATATTCACCACCATCATAATCTTCATCATCATAATCTTCATCACCATCATCTTCATCATCACAAACATCACCATCACCAGCAACATCGTCATCATCATCATCATTACCCGGCTCCATCATCATTAGGGACTTTAAGATTGGCAAAATCTACGACGGCGACGTCAACCGGAAGTGTAAATAACTTGTCTTTGGGGTTTTGTTCATTGGAGATTTCATTCAAAACGTTGCCAGTAAAGCCAAGTCATCCACGGGGAAGACAGACTTTGAAGACGTGAAACCCCAAAGTTGTTTACACTTCCGGTAGACGTCGCCGTCGCAGATTTTGCAAATCTTAAAGTCCCTAATGATGATACTACCACCATAATCATCATCACCGCCCCCATCACCACTAATTCATCATCATCACCATCATCATCATCATCACCCTCACCATCATCATCACCATCATCCTCATTACCACCATCACCATCATCCTCATTACCACCATCACCATCATCACCACCATTATCATTATCACCATCATCCTTATTACCACCATCATACTCATCGTCTTTTTATAAATAATTTATCCTTTTATCCGCAGATTAATATTTTTATGACTCACATG